TAGTATTGTACTAGATCTCGTACTATATATCCTATATATAGAGGCCTATATAATATATTATATATATATATATATATATATATATATATATATATATATATATATATATATATTACAATATTAGTAATTACTGGCACTAGACCTACTGCCTACTGGTCTATCCTTATCCTACAAATTTAAGTCATTAATTAAAGAATTAAAGATATTTTTATACCTACTTTATTAGTTTATAAGTTTATATAGTATTTTATGGTAGGCCTATTTGCCATTTGGCCTGCCCCATAGAATATACTTATATAGTATAGCAGTATAGACCTAACCCTTCATACAATGCCCTACAGTTACAGCCTACATACATTACTAGAATGTCATGAATCTGAAATTTTGATAATCAACCACAACAAACAATAACATTCAAGGGTAATCTATCGTTTTGGGTACGTAAAATCGCCCGCGGCTATTTATGTACGAAAACGTTACCTCATTGTCAAGGCTTTAATAGAATTATATTGTCATATGTTTGTGTCAAATATTATAGATAAATGAATAATAAACCTAAATCAATGGCTAAATATATCGATATAGGCCAGAAATTAACTTTAAACAGCAGTGTCTGAGAGCAAGATTTGCTATATAAACAGCAGCCATTTGTAAAATAGAATGGCTTCCCCCTGAATCTGGCGCTAAAAGCTTATGAAAATAAAACTTAGACAAGATGGCTGCTGTAGTAAATGAGCATTGTTGCATCTGTTGGAAACATCGCTAGTCTTCATTAATTACGGAAAAGTTTTAATTCAATTGTTTAAAAACAGGTACATAAATGAATCAAGGAAACATTTTTGAATTTTTTAAAACATAAATCCTCCTCAAAATGTGAAATAATTATTAAAATTTAAGGAGTCACCTGTTTTTCACATTACAAATCGCGGGCGATTTTACGTACCCAAAACGATAGATTACCCATTCAAGCAGAAGATTCAAAATCAACTTCGACTGCACTGCAGTATTTTATTCAAACTTGTGATTGCTTGTTTAGATCTAGATCTAGATTCTAGATCTATGTTGATTGTAGTTAACTTTTATTAGACTGGTCTCTAACAACAAATGTGAGAACTGAGAACTGATGGTAAACATTGATTTGAATTTAGTTCAATTTACCTTGTAAACAACGTAGAGTTAACTAAAAAGTGTCGATGTTGCGGTTTAGAAGTCACATGTCTGTCACGTGACATATCAACGACTACAGTTAAACAGTTGAGTTATATAAAATAAATAATTAGACCTACGTCAAGTTAAACTACCGTTTAACTATTGTAAAAAAAAGTAGAAGAAGGCCTACTCTTTTATGAATATTAAATAACTAATTGGTGACGGTTAGACCAAAGCTGAAATGTAGTTAATAAAGTGCATATCACCATTCAATATAAACCGGGGGGGGGGGGGGTCGTCTATAAAATTATGTCACACGCCAGTGGCGGAACTAGAAAAAAAGGGCCACCCCGCAAAGAAAATTTTTGGGCCCCATCTATATATATATCAGGGTTCGTGCGGCCTCCTGAAATTCCAGGAGGTCCTGGAAAACTCCTGGAATCTTAAAAAACGTAAAAATCTCCTGGAATTTGAAAAAATATAAAAACCTCCTGGAATTCTCCTGAAATTTGAAAAATTCTCCTAAAAATTACATGAAATTTTATTAACCCGCGGCGCAAAACCCGACCGAAATTGTTTGATTTTGTTCCGCCAATAATTGAATAGTAGTTTTTAAATGGGACGAAAATAAAAATAAACGCATCGGCCGTCGTCCGACTAAATCGCACTGCCGTGATCTACACATCGTGTGGCACAGCCGAGTGTGTGGTCACGTGACGCTAGGCGATTGACCCGATTGGATGATACTATAAACAATTTCTAAAGATAGATAGGCCTACATGTGTTCCCGTGTTTGACTTGTCGGCTTTTGGATTTTTAAAGTAGACAGGCATGTTTCATAACTTTGTCTTAAACTATTGAAACAGCAAAAACAAGTTGTAGTAGTATTTACGGCTCAGGACTAATCGTCAAAAATTAATCTTCTTTAGAAAACCCGGATAGCTGCGACCCGATCAAACAATGCTGATTCGCGTAACGTTTCATTATTTTATTTTATACATTAATTTTTCGTAAAAATGGCTATAGAAAATAAATTATATTTTTCCAGTGGCTCTTTTTTTCGGTTGACTAAAAATTGTTAATACGCTCAATACTAGCTTGCCAAATCGACCAAAATGGGCTGGGGTGGGTGGGGGAAGACAACTGACCATCCTACACGGTATGTAACACCCAACGTAACATCCATAGCTCAACCCGCCCCCACTACTCCGTGACGCGACAAGCCGACGATCGTTGCCTTTGATGTGGTGTAACACTCGTACGGTGGTTTCATACCCCACCTCCCTTCCCCCCTTCACTTTGTGGAGTTGATGTTACTAATCCTTGGGCATAGATCAAGAAATCTTGCCAGACTTTTGTCTCTGAAATTACATAATAATCGTCTGACACGTTCATCGGGTCGGCCGACTAGCCTAGCATCATTGGATTTGGCATCCAAAAATCAATAAAATATCACGAAATGATATTAATTGGTGAAGCCTGCTTGCATTTATACCTCTTTTATAGTGAAAAACTCTTTAAAATTTGGTCCATACTCTCCCAGTATTTTTCCTCTTTTAGGGTCTATCCCGTTGTCTGAAAAATCTGCTATTTTTTTAATGAAAAAAAAATCATAACTTTTTTGTTTATGGTCAGATTTTGAAAATTCAAACTGGTCTGTAGTCAGATTGATAGCCTCTATCCTAATATGTAACTAATATATTGTTTTACTTTTACTGAAATTAAATTCTTGCATTGGCTTAGCTAATTAAATGTATTATTAAGTACGCTTTTTTTTTTAAATGTACAAATTGGGTTTCTTTTTTGTTTTTAAAATCTCCTTGAATTTTTTTTAAACTCCTGGAAAAGTCCTGGAAAACTCCTGGAATTTTATTTGAACTTTTGAACATGAACCCTGATATATATATATATATATATATATATATATATATATATATATATATATATATATATATATATATATATATATATATATATATATATGTATATATATATATATATATGTATATATATATATATATATATATGTATATATATATATATATATATATATATATATATATATATATATATATATATATATATAAAGCTGAAATGTAGTTAATAAAGTGCATATCACCATTCAATATAAACCGGGGGGGGGGGGGGTCGTCTATAAAATTATGTCACACGCCAGTGGCGGAACTAGAAAAAAAGGGCCACCCCGCAAAGAAAATTTTTGGGCCCCATCTATATATATATATATATATATATATATATATATATATATATATATATATATATATATATATATGTATATATATATATATATATATATGTATATATATATATATATATATGTATATATATATATATATATATATATATATATATATATATATATATATATATATATATATATATATATGTATATTATATATATATATATATATATATATATATATATATGTATATATATATATATATATATATATATATATGTATATATATATATATATATGTATATATATATATATGTATATATATATATGTGTGTGTGTGTGTGTGTGTGTGTGTGTGTGTGTGTGTGTGTGTGTGTGCCTTTGTATATAAACATAATACCAACACAGTACTCATTTCGGGATTGTTTGATTTTTTTTCTTAAATTAAAAATACTACAAATTTTTTTAAAGAAATTAAAACAAGTTACAAGAACACGTCACAATTTTGTGATTGCTATTTTTTTTTTTTTTTTTTTTTTTTTTTTTTTTGCTCTGTGATCACTCTGTGAGTGCTATTTTTTTTTTTAATATATTGACAATCGTAAACAGCGTAAAATCGAAGATCAGTCTCACTATCCACTCTGTGTGTGTGAGTGCTATTAGTCTAAAAATCTCTGCTTTAAATATATGTTTAATGTTTCCAGTATGTTGGTCGGTCAAAAGAATATGAAGCATGAAAGCTTTGTATGTGTAATGGTTTCCCGCGTTATGTTTATTTTCATGTTTTTTGTATTTATATTATTAGTTTTAAATACATTTCCTTTTTATGCTTTGTCATTCTTTATTATGAATTTTTAAAAATAATAATTAAGAGATGTAATTGCTTTTTAATTTGTTTAGTGCACATCTATTAAAAGGAGCTTAAGAGCACACATACTTGACTATTTGAAAAAGGGAAATAAGTCATGGAAGTGGTTTGAACGCTTGCCTATCATTCACGCGATTTTCATACGAATTTTTCCGACAACAGCGTGTGTTTGATTGTTGGAGAAAGAGGACCCGGGATGGTGTCTATAGAATAAAGATAATGAAACCGCAGCTACAGTATTCTTTTTACAAAACAACCATAAAGTCAAAAATGTATCAAGATTTTTTTTAACTAAAAAAATAAATTGATTATGGTCGGCTGTGGGCCCCTAAATGGCCCGGGCCCCCCCCCCCCCCCGCATTGCGGGGTCTGGCGGTACTGTAGTTCCGCCCCTGTCACACGCGTAGTGGGAGGGGCTTGTATTTTTGTGACGTTGTGTGATAAAGTAGAGGGCTCAGATAGTGTGACCTCACACTTTTGCCTTTAAAAATGGTGTTGTGCGACACTGAATTTCAGTCATTTTTTGCGTTTTAGAAATCTGTTTTAGTAAATTGAAATGGAAATTGACTAATTATAAAATAATCTATGTTGACCGAGCGACGTCAGTAGGCATAGTTTTTTTTTTATTGGGGGGGGGGGGGGGCTTTTTATGACAATGTGCGGGGGGGGGGGGGGGTAATAAATGGTTTTTAAAAAGCGAGACGCCACTTAAGGACGACTCTTTAACATAGACTAAAATATAATTGGAAATCAGAAGAGAAAAGAAAGCAAACAGTACTTACCGTCTTTTGATTGCTTTTGTCCCATTTTTTTTTTGTTTTTGAACTTTTAGAGAAACCAATCACTGATACTCTTTACAGATCATTGGAGTATGTAGAGATCTTCCAACTAAAAAATATAATAAAATCACAAATGAAAATCAATAGCCGATTATAGAGCCTGTTACATTTGGTTAGTCGCTCTGTTTCTCTCTAACAATGGGCCAGCTATGGGACTAGACTTTATATAATATATATATGCATTACGAAACCTCAGCTCTCTATAAACTACACCAAGCGGAAATGTATTACGTTTGTATTGTAGGTCTAGATCTACATTGTGACTTTAATATGACAATGACCTGACTGCACCCTTTTCAAACGGCGCCTGTGATGTTAGATGTGTGCACAAAGACGTATGTTTTATATTATGACTCAATACAGTAGAAATTAGGATTCTATTAAATTCAAACAAAGAAGAGACGCGTATGTGAATGGGAAAAAAATTCCCATGACTTACATTTGAAGCGGTGAAAAGAGATTGAATGACAAGATTCTACTGCGTGTGTTTAAAATTAATTTCAACATGCGAGGTCACTGAAATGCGTGGGCAGGGTACAAATATGTGGGGTCGTGTTTACAAATCTTCCTTGAGATTAATGTACGTTGGATATTGTAAATATAACTTAGTGTGTAATTCAGGGCGTATCAGGTTCTCGAGTGAGGGTCGGGGTGGGGGGGGGGGGGGGTAGCGAATGCGATAACAGAAATCAAGTTTAATCACGGAAACTTTTGGAACAAACCAGTGACCTATACGCATACAGAGCCACTTTCAGACGTCTTCAGATGCCACACACCCCTTCCAGAAAGAATAGGAAAATGTATAATGTATAGAGTAAATATACATTTGGTGTCCCCTGTCCACCCACCCCCCCACCCCCCACCCACCCCCCCCTCCCACGGAAATTTCAAGTGCGCCCCAGGCCGGAAGTTTCAAATGCACCCAAGAAGAAACTGTTTGGAGAGAAAAACCTGCACGTATATGAGAAGTATGTCAAGATGTAGTGGCTAACTTGTGTGTTGGGTTTAATTTTAGAGACATACATCCATTTTAATAACAAATTACTATATTATGCCAGTAACCCACAGTATTTGTTTTTTTTTAGCAAGAAAAATGTTGGTAATCGTAGAAGTTCAGCTCAAGACCATAAGTGGCCCGCCAACTAGACGTTGCAAACATCGAACTCTTTTAGTTCAGAGGTTCTTAGCTAGGGGTTTGGTGAATTTTCCTCTGGGGTTCAAAACACACACCCGACTCATAATATGTGTTTTGTCAGTGCGGACGACATAACTATTAAGAAGGGTTCGGTAAATGCGCACATGCAATGGTGGGGTTCGGTACATTCAAAACGGTTAAGAACCACTGCAGTATTTGTATCAGCATATTATGTATATCTATAACCCCAAACTGTAATACTTTACACTAAACCTGAGAACTTCCTACAGAAGTTTCAAAAGAAGTGTCATGTTTCGTCGTGTCTTCAGTGAGAACTGTGACGGTGGTGTAAACTAAACAACGGCCCGGCTGTTCTGTTGATCTTTGTTTGTGTCGGGGTGGGGGGGGGGGGGGGGTGCATGTCTGCTATTCCTAATTCAATGTTTAATGTCGCCTTTTACATTATCGATAAGAAGCAAATCTAAAAGCTCAGGATAAGTAGGAGATTCAGCACTGAAATAGCAGGGGGAAAAAAACTATGTATCTGACTAGTCATAACTGCTAATCTTGCGGGGGGGGGGGGGGGGGGGGGGTGGAAGGGGAGGAGTTGTATTATTATTAGGCAGTGGGTGGAGCTATGTTTGACGGAAAATATTTTGATACAAATAAAGTGGGAGTGGGCTCCCCAAAACTTTCTCGTATAAACTTATATAACAGTGTGAGTTGGGATGGCCCTTTCAGTGAAAGCGAGCTATAGAAATATAGAAGTTTGTGTCAAAACCGCACGTTTTTCGAGATTACACGTAGAGGTGAAAAGTTTATAGAGTGCGATTTATGAGAGAGTGATATAAAATTATCAAATTCTGAATGATTTTGAGTGCAGTAGCTCTCCAGATTAGGTCTGACTTTTTATAACGATGTGTGACGGTGGGGAGCAGTGGTGTTACAATGTAGCGTGTATCCCCTCCCCCCCCCCCCCCCCCCCACACACACTCAAACAATTTTGAATTGTTTATTTCGTGTCATCTCGCTGCGTTGTTATTTAATTAGTTATTTCAATTGGATGTAATATTGTTTTTTTTTCCCAGCAAATTTTAGTTTTAAATATTTTTTTTAGTGTCATCCCCTAAACAGAGGCACCTGGTGCGGACCGTGCCCCGCCCCGCCCTGCGGCACTACTGGGTGGGGGAGGGAGAGATTTAAAAAAAATGTTTAAAAACCTGATGTTTAAGATTGTACCCTAGAAGAATCCATAAGTTTAGTTGCCTTTAAATAACTTTAATACAAAGGTTAGAATTTTTTTTATTGGGCAACGGGAAACGAGTTTAATTAATTTAAACACGCGCTTAAAGGCGCTTATAAAGGACGGTAGAACAACATGAGACTTGTGTGTGTGGGGAGGGGGGGGGGGAGAGATCTACATTGAATAAAAAACATTTTGTTTCTAGTGCGGTGGTTTCAAATGACGTCATATATACGCCCATGCGCCAACATTGCGAAACACGATCTTGGGTTCAACATGTCTAGTGCCATAATTTTTTTTTCTATTTATCAAATTATTTTGACTGAAAACTTTGAGTATTGCACATAGAAGGCGGTGGGTAACTGGAAATAATTTTAAATAGGATTGTAGATAAGACAAGCACGATTTAAATGGCGGCTCAATAATGACAACTTTGTACTTTTGAAGTTGTGTCAATAAGGGATTGTTGAATCGTGATCGGATATTGAATAGATAACAGAAAGATTTGAGGAGGGGGGGGGTAATTTGTGTAGGACTTGTTCAAGGATCGGCGGGGTTTTGTTTTGTGCTGGTTCGACAAGGGTTAAACATAAAGTGCTGCCATTGTTAGGTGCAGCGGGAGTTATCTGGATCAGGGGGAGGTAAGACAACTACGTTAACATGCGTGCTACTACTAGCTCGGTGCTATACGGAGATTTGTTGTTTACATGAGTACGTGGAAGATAGGCTTTAGGTCTTTGTAGAAGGTCTATGTTCATGGTCTATGTAGAAGGTCTGTGTAGTATGCAGAGTTTCTTTTAGGTTCCTTTTACAGTGTCCGTCCCCGGAAAATTTAGACTCCAGGTCTCTGCGCAAGGTCTATGAAGAAGGTATATGTACGGGGGCTTTGTAGAAGGTCTATGAAGAAGGTATATGTACGAGGGCTTTGTAGAAGGTCTATGAAGAAGGTATACGAGGGCTTTGTAGAAGGTCTATGAAGAAGGTATATGTACGGGGGCTTTGTAGAAGGTCTATGAAGAAGGTATATGTACGGGGGCTTTGTAGAAGGTCTATGAAGAAGGTATACGAGGGCTTTGTAGAAGGTCTATGAAGAAGGTATACGAGGGCTTTGTAGAAGGTCTATGAAGAAGGTATACGAGGGCTTTGTAGAAGGTCTATGAAGAAGGTATATGTACGGGGGCTTTGTAGAAGGTCTATGAAGAAGGTATATGTACGAGGGCTTTGTAGAAGGTCTATGAAGAAGGTATATGTACGAGGGCTTTGTAGAAGGTCTATGAAGAAGGTATATGTACGAGGGCTTTGTAGAAGGTCTATGAAGAAGGTATACGAGGGCTTTGTAGAAGGTCTATGAAGAAGGTATATGTACGGGGGCTTTGTAGAAGGTCTATGAAGAAGGTATACGAGGGCTTTGTAGAAGGTCTATGAAGAAGGTATATGTACGGGGGCTTTGTAGAAGGTCTATGAAGAAGGTATATGTACGAGGGCTTTGTAGAAGGTCTATGAAGAAGGTATATGTACGAGGGCTTTGTAGAAGGTCTATGAAGAAGGTATATGTACGGGGGCTTTGTAGAAGGTCTATGAAGAAGGTATATGTACGAGGGCTTTGTAGAAGGTCTATAAAGAAGGTATATGTACGAGGGCTTTGTAGAAGGTCTATGAATAAGGTATATGTACGAGGGCTTTGTAGAAGGGCTATGAAGAAGGTATATGTACGAGGGCTTTGTAGAAGGTGAGGGCTTTGTAGAAGGTCTATGAAGAAGGTATATGTACGAGGGCTTTGTAGAAGGTCTATGAAGAAGGTATATGTACGAGGGCTTTGTAGAAGGTCTATGTAGTAGGTCTTTGCAGAAAGTCTATGTAGCAAGCATATTATAGAAGGTCATTGAAGCAAATTCTTTATAGAAGGTATGTGTGGAAGGTTTTTGTCTCTCTCTATAAATATATCCCCCCCCCTCTCTCTCATACGGCCATTATCCATCTTTGTGGATCCTTGCAGTGCATAAGTTCGTCTGTGCAGTCAGTCTTTGATAATATTCTAATTGGAAAGTATATCAAGTAGATAGTATTTCTCGGTAGGTCTATGTAAAAGGTTTATTTTATAGGTCTATACAGAAGGTATATTTAAAAGGTCTGTGTAGAAAGTCTTTGTGTAGAAGATCTATTCAAAAGGTCTATGTAGTAAATACGTAGGTCATATAGAAGGTCTTTGATAAAAGTCTTTAATGTTAATGAAGAAAGTTGTAGTTCTTTGTAAGATTATTTATGTTTTTTATTTTAAAAGATCTATATAGAAGGTTCAACAAGTTGATTCAGTAGTCCAAGATATTTATAAAATTACGTTAAGGTCAAGATTTTAAAGTGTTTATGTAAAGCCCCGAGTAATCGGTCTTATATAGAGCTGCATCAGGACGTGTAGTCAAACGTACATGCCAGGTCATTTTCACAAGGAAAAGCCAAATGTAGCTGGACAGAAATAGATTCTGGCCGTCAAAAAGTAATGTATGTTTTGATGTGACGTGTAGGTGAATCCCTAGGATCAGAAGGAATGGGTTCATTGGGCGGGATATAAAAAATGACAGTTGGGACAACGAAACAACGGGAGTGATAAGCCCCGATTTTATTGACGACACACGAGTGTGATTGCTTTGACAGTGACGTGTCATGACGTCAA